CTGTGTTTTCATTCCAGAACAAAAATGTAGTAATCTGTCCAATATGTGTTTATACACAGACATGCAGGTCTAATGTGAAAAAATGTGATACAATTCAAGGCTAAGGAACGGGGTATATTTCAGTATCTTGAAAACTCTTTATGTAGGAAATATGTAGAAGAGCTGCTATAGATTTTGACTTTTAAGCCAGCAAAAGAAAGAGCTGAGGCTTTTACCTTCAGAAGATTTCTGATTCTGCTGCCCAAATGGGAAAGGATCAGAATAGACTATCCCTTGCCTGTTACAAATCTCCTGGTAGTGAAAAAGATTGTTTTGCTTATTACTCACAAACCAATTTGCAAAGCATTCTAAAAAGGGAGAGTTTTGCTATTTTAGTGGGGTGAAACTATTTTTAGAAAGGTTCATTCAACATGGAGGAAAAATGTCTTCTCTCACATAGTTATTGCAGTTTCTTTGGACAGGTGGTATACTTCCATGGAAATCTCTTGGACTCCCTTGATTTTTTTAACTTTTAGAATTGCAAGGTATTACTTTCCAATGAATATTCTTCATATGTGGGTTTTTAATGGTATGTGGAAAGGTTAAATTTTTCAAGTATACTTGAAAAAGCAGCTGTTCAGTTTTATTAATTTTTATTTTCTTTTGAAATCTGTGGTAAATCCAGACTTTCTTATCAAGAGTGACCTGATAAAAAGTGTCAGGTTTTGGTGTGGTTTTACTTTGTGTTCCAGGCTGACTTGCATTTTGCATTTCATGATTTTCACTTCTAATAGAATTTCAGAGGTTGTTTGTAGAGTGGCACATTCATTTGACCTCTAATATCTTTGGATTCAAAAGGAAATATATAGTCAATCTTTCTAGCTTTTATTTTTAAATAGGATTAACTCAATAGTGCTAATTAGGCTGCATTAAATGAGTATTTTTGTTTGTTTGTTTTTTTCCCTATATAGTGGCAATTAAAGCCTCTATTTGTCCTCATTTTAATGTTTTGCTTCTATGCCATATGAAAATCCTCTTGTCTTTGATATGTTTATTTGGTTATATGAAACTGAGTTTTTAGGATTTAGATGGCCTCAGAATCTGTAATTCATGTAAATATTTGGAAAGCACACTGTAGTGAGACTTCATCTGAAGCATTTTCTGGTTGTATCTTTAACATTCTACAATCCAGTTCTAAACAGCATGTATTAAAATTGACTAAAAATATCCTGTTGATGCTCACAGTTAATACACAGTGACCAAATAAAAAGAGCTGATGTGTGAGAGGAGACAAGTATCTTAATGGTCTCTCCTAACTTCTTCAGAAAGGTCTGTTTTTTCCACTATTAGAACAGTGGACAGGTAATAAATTGTAGAACGTTCATCATAAATGTAATAATAATAATAAATTGTAGAACAGATCATCATGGGATATGGGCCACATCTAGCTGGACAAGTGCAGGAACAAGGACTACTAAAGCCAGTTAAAGCTTTGTTGAAAGAAGAATTCTTGCATGGAGTAAACTGGCCAGTGCCAATCACATTGAGCAGCCATGCAGGGAAGACATAGTTGTCCCTGCCAAATGGCATGTTCTCTGCAGGAAGCTATATCCAATTCATGTTCTTTGGAAAACCTCATCTCCCTGAAGTTCCATTTCAAAATGGCTTGGAAGAATCCCAGAATCCCTTCCCTTTTTTCAACATCATGAACTATGTTAGTACATATGTCCAGAATGATTAATTGTAGTATTTTGCATAATCTGCAGTTGTTGACACTGATGAGTATTTGGACTATTGCCTCTGATGTTAGCACAGAAAAACCTTTGATTTCAGTTACTCAATTTTTTAACAAGCTATATATGCATTGCTGCCCTTCACATCTCCATTTTTTTTCTGCAGTACCCTAAAATAGAGAGGCTTTTCTGACTAAATTGAGATTATATTCAATTAAAGGAATTGTGATTCATCTATACAAAAAGAGAGAGGGTAATTTACCAGAAAGAATTAACACAAAACCATACAAATCAGCTTTTATTAATATTTCAGTAGATAATTCATGATCATAGAGGGTTATGGCACTGTTTTCAGTCATCCAATTTTGTTTGTAATAATATGTCTTTTCTCTAGGCCTAGTTCAAAAAGAACTGATTTGAAACGTTTGAATTGAAGCGTCTGAGTAGCCATGTGTATTTAATAGAGTAAATGAAACAAAGCTTTGCTTAACTGGGACTTTAGAGTTAGATGTTCTTTCAGAGTCCAATGTGTGTGGAGAGAGAGTGAGCACAGTAATTTTGCACGTCCAGAAGAATGTAAACCAAGATTGCAAGTTTTATGAACTCGTGAGAGTAGTTCACAGTCTCCTACTAATGGATAACATTATTCCTACTTTATCTGTTAAAAAATGGAGCCATTGAAATGTTACATGAATTGCACAAATGCCACACAAAAGTTTCAGCAGCAGAGGTAGAAGTAAAAGGTAGATCTAAAATTCTAACTTTGATGTCCAGATGACATTGCTAGCTTTGCTGTCCCGAAGGCTTGCCCCTTTATAAGGACTTTTTTTAAGATAATTTTTTATTACTTAGATCATTTAATAACTCTCAAAGATCCATTATGAACCTTCAGAAAGAAGCACAGCTTTTTATGAGGAAGCTGTCATAGAACCAGGATACTTCTCTAGGCTGCATTTATCCCTGTTGTAAAAGGTTCTACCATGTGAAGTGCAGGTTTCCAAACTGATATGGGGTACACAAGCTGGTTTTAGGCACCTTCTGTGTATAATGAGCCAGACAAAATTCCTGAATTTATTCAACGTTGGTACTCTGAAAGGAAGCAGGCATAGACACACCTTGCCTCCTATTACTGTAGGATAACACATCCTGTAATTTCATAGTTCTATATATACTACTTGACCTCAGTCCCATTCAGTTTGTCCCAGAATCCTATCCTCTGAACTCTAGATCTGCAAACATTTGCCTTTCACATTTGTCCCTGTTTTTTGTCCTCCGTATCAACCTAACCCAATGGTTTTCTGTGCTGTGCTTTGACTTACAAACTCCATCTCTTCCCCACTTATTTGTTGTTCCCATTGGATACTAGTTCCACCTTGCTTCCCTTTTCTCTGTCCAGTTTGACTCCATCACCATCTTCTTAATCAAAACCTGTCAGCAGTCCCACTCTCTTCTTATCCCTTCATTTCAGTACTACTAGTTCTCTATGGTTCTTATTTTCCCCAGTTGTTGCCCAGTCTTTTGTCAATCTACAGATCTGTCTCTTGCCATCTTGAATTTAGATCAGATTCTTTCCTCCTCCCTATGTTCAGATTCTCAGCTATTGAAAACCACTAAGCCACTCACACAAGAGGAACTTCATCTTTCTTCTGCTCTGAATTTAAGTGTCTTGTCTTAAGGATGTCCTGGCTCATGGCAGTCCAGTTTGGAAGCTGGGTGAAAGTCCTCACCTTGTGAGCATGTCCAGAACAGACAGAATCTATGGGACGGTTAGCTGGTGAAATCTTAGTCTCTACTAAAGAGGGAGTAATTGCAATCTCCTACCCTGATTTTCTGGAAAAAAAACCAAACAATTTTATAGTGGCTGCCTGGTTTTGGCCTATGTTTCCCAATAATTCTTGAACAAACTAGCTATGTGTCCCATCTTCTGGCTGGTCAGTCATATTCTTTTCCCCAGAGCAGTACACCTTCTGTCCCAGCCCTTGACCAAGGACAGCTGAGAGTGTATCTGAAGATACATGAAAGGATGGCAGGAAGCAGTGGAGGGGTGGGTGGATGCTGAGGTATCCATGAGAGAATTGCTGGTGGCACAAGAGGGTAGGGGTTACATATAAAGCCACTAATTGGGTAATGAAGTATGATCTGACAATAAAAGCCTCAGGAGAGGATTTTTTGTTTCTTTCCTGGAAAGTTTAGGTAAAGTGGTGATACCTAAGCAATATGTTTTACTATTAATTTTTGTATCAGGTTTATTACATTTATCTGTCCATTGGAGAAGCAAAAAACCTGGCAGTGGATGAGATTTCACAGCAGTGAATCACTGAAGTAATTTGCTTCCCTCTATATACACTATCTAGTTTTCTACGTGAATAGCAAAACCACTTAATACTTGCAACATTTCTTTTCAAAGAGCAAAGCTGTGCTAAGGAGTTGGCAGCCTGCTTACTGGAACCTTTTGATTCACCATGCACTTCCTAGAAAACTTTGCCAGGTGTCCTTTCAGCTGCTCTATGGCAAGGCTTTGATGTGCTGAGAACACGGTCACAACAAGGGACAGCTGTGACTCCAAAAAAATAACAGGGAAAGCAGAAGGAATGTTCAGACCTTGCTGTATGGGTAGCTTGGCTGTGATGGTCCAACTTCTGCAGCCACAGTGGGACTGGTGCAAGCTTTGGAAGCCCCTGGAGGCTGACACTGAATTGGTGGTGGCAGTTTCTGGTTTTGTGTTAGGATGAGCAGAAGAAGGCATGTTACTGTCCATGTGGCATGAACAGAAAATAAAGTATTTAGTCTCTGGTGGTGTTGCTTATGGATAAGAAAGATCAGATACAAGTATTCTTTGGATGAGGTCTGCTTGCAGGCTATGAGTTAGACCTTGCTTTGCTTTGGACCTGTAATTCTGATGCCTAATGATCTTGTTGTTAGTGTGTCAAAGAGCCTTGATTGTGCCTTTCTGTCAGATTTATGCTGAGGACTGCAAAAACTTGGGGTGGGGGAGATCCTCAACAATTCCTACAGTACAAGTGAAAAAAAAGAGATAGCAGGTAGGGGAGCACAATTAGACACCCCTGCCCGGTGTCAGCGCTGTACTTGGTGTTCAGCATTTGGAGGAAGATCTAACAAATGAATGCTGAACACTTGATATCAAGTCCTGATAAATTAAAAACACAAATACTGTGAAGATCCTTCTTCCCTGAGAGTTATTAAAGCTTCAAGATCCACAAGCTATGCAGTGTGTTTATAGGGAGGCATATTATACATTGATTGTTTTGTTTCTTTTGGTCTTTCCAGTTGTTCCAGGACCTTGGCACGTCTGTGTTGTCAGGTGCCTTTAAAGGATACAACATCTGCCTCTTTGCATATGGACAGACAGGTTCAGGAAAAACTTACACAATGATGGGAACACCTGTGAGTTACAATGTTCATTTTACACTTCAGTTTGGGGGTGGCATGTTCAACAGAAACATTGCTTTATTTTTAAACTGTGATTATGGTGCTGGTTGAGCAGAGTGCTTACATACATTTTATGCAGTATTTATATCTATAAAATGAGAGTAAAGCCTTTATATTTAGGTAAATCATGTAACATCAGATAAAAATGCTAGAAAATATGATATGGTTTAAATATTTGTTACTTACTGCCATGTGAGAGGAAAAAAAATATTCCTCAATAGTTCTGCTTTTTAGAAACTTACAGCTTAGGATCACACAAACTATTCATTCTCATAGACTTTTTTGGCAGTCTGAGCTGAAATTAAATTACTGTCACTAATGAAACTGGACACAATTCACAGGAATATTTTTGTAACAGGTTTTATTATCTACTTGAGACAGTTATCTGTTGCAGAAGTTATCCTCTGGCATGTGGAAGATAATACTTTCTTCACTGCCAGTTTAGAAATGTATTTGCAGAAGCTGTTACGTTTTAAGATTCTTGTCCAACAGGAACCACTTAAAGTGCATTTTAATCTTCGTACTCAGATCGACGGAGTTGGTTGAGAATGTCCTGTGTTCTGCTGCAACACAAGGCCATTTGATCCATATCCATAAATACCCTTGGCAGTTGGTGAAACATGCCCCTAAAAAAGAAATATTTTAATCAACAATTTGTGTGAGTGGATCACTATTTCCTACACCTGTGGGATTCAATTTTAATAGTGAAGTAACAGTAAAATTTGTTCCACCCCTGAAGATAAGAAGAAGACTGCTCTGGCATGGTTTGTGCTTTTGGCAAAAGTTTGGATTTAAATTTATATTTTCCCCCACAGGCATCAGTAATAAGATTTCGGTAAATCGTGAACTGATTCTCTATTAGTTTGTTCTAAATCAAGTTTACCATAAAAGCCTGAAGAACTGTTAAAATTAGGGTTAATGACCAACAAACTAGGGTATTTGTATTACATTATGTTGAAAATATAAATTCATAATGACCACACCTTGAAATTATCGTTATTTCTTTCCAAGGAAATTTCCAGGTGTAATGCTTCTAAGAAATTTCTGGATTATAAAGTGACTTCTTTCCAGTGGAATCCTGCTTAGATCTGATCTTTAGTAACATGTATTTGCTTTGAAACAGTGTTCAAAACTAGGAAGAAACAAGTGTTTGGTGTCAACTGAACTTTTGGTCACAGTGGTCCACTTTATGAACCTGGACTTTCACCATTTCAGTGTTGTGTAGATGGGGAAAAGTTCAAATTGTGTAGTTTGGGTACAGTTAGTAGCCCACATCCTGTTTTCTTCAAGAAACTAGATTTATAAATCTGGAACATAAAGCTGTTCCAAGCTCTGTGATGCCACAGTGTAAAGGAATAAAAGTAGAATAACGGGAAAAAATTACTCATGACCAATGAAACTAGTTTCAGTGTTGGCCTGGCTTCATTTACACTGCAACACTTCTGGCATAGGCATGTCCGCTATCTTTACATCAAGCAGCTCTTGGATTTAACCCAAGCCTCTCAGCTTCTCATCAATGCTGTATAAGTTGCTCTAAAATTACTTTTTTGCAGCATTTGCACTGAGGCTAAGACAGCTGACATTACACAGCATGCTGGTCCCTGCAGTGTTTCATGTGCAAGGTGCTTCAGTTGGAGTAGTAGAGCATTGCCATGCTGTTTTGAACTTCACTCCAGAGCAGTTTGTGTTGTCATCCACCATAGAACCATTATTTTAATGCTGCACAATAGTTCTGCCCTTTGCTTATATATTGGCTTTTATTTAAGAGAGAGTTTTGCTAGAGTTATAACAAGCATATGGTTTAATATTTTTTTTTCTTTATTATTTGAAGGCATCCATTGGGCTGACACCTCGTATATGTGAGGTACTTTTTTTTTTTTTTAATTTCACTTACACTTGTGCAGTTAGATTTTCTTGATGGATTTAAAATTTGCATAAACTTCTGGTTTGTGCAGGGTCTCTTTTCAAGGAAGGATGATTACTCAGACCAAACAGCATCTTGCAGAGTAAAGGTCAGGTAAGCATGTCACTATTTTGGGCAAATGCTGTTAATGGTTTCAACAACATATTCCTGTAATGAAACAAAATGAAGAGTAGTTAATTTTGTTTCTTTTTTTCTCAGATAATAGTAATTGTGGAACAAAGAGGAGAACACAGAGGAAAGGATGAGAAAGTGCTGAGTTTAGGGTTTTTTATCTCAGTATACTTTTTTGGATGCTGTCTGTTCACTTTTGCATAGATAGCTGAAAAAGAAGTCCATTAAAAATTTACTTCCTGTTTGTTTAACTCTTAAATTTGAGAAATAATCCTACATTTGATTCTTATTCATCATTCCCATTGATCTAATGAAGCATTAGGTTTGGAAATTTGCGGGGTTGAACTCACCAGTGTTAACAAAAGTATATTTTATGAATATTTCAATAAAATACTGAATACCTTTTGCTTCTTGGAAATATGCTACTTTGAGTTCTTTCCACATGCACTGCACGGCAAGAAGCAGTAACAGAGATAATGAAAATAAATTAACTTTATCATGAAAGATCTATGTAAGATTCAGGTAGTTACGCTCTCTAAATATATGCATTATCTTTTTGTTTGCTTGTTTGTTTTTTAAATTGTGTGCATTTAAAAGACCTTTTTTTCTCTTCAGTTTTCTTGAAATCTATAACGAGCGTGTCCGAGACTTGTTGAAACAATCAGACCGGAAGAAACCTCGCACACTTCGAGTCCGAGAACACCCTGAAACAGGACCATATGTTCAAGGTGAGAGCAGGCTTCACAACTAGCCCCAGAATCTCAAGTAAATATGAGCCAGGTCTGTATGTATCTTTGCATATGTTCCTGACATGATTCTAATTGCTTCTACTCTTCAGAGTTACTTTTCTCCAATGTTTTCTTTGTTAATATGAACAAGTGTAAATACACTGAAAGCTTTGCCTCTGTTATCCCACTGGCTGGATCTCCTGCACTTTCCTGTTTGCCTTTCCAATCCTAGGTTCTTTGTGAGCGATAGTGTTTTGCTTTCTTTTGTTATAGAGAAATTTTAACTTCATCAAGAAATCCACCAACGTCAGCTCTAAAGGGGTTGTACAGGCTAAGGTCTCTCCATACCTGTTTCAGTCCTTGTGTATTTGCAAAATAGTAATAATAAAAAAGTTAGGTGTTGCAGGCCAGGCCATGAGAAGGAATTAGATCTGTATTTCCTATGTGAGAATGCAATAATCTTCATTTGTCCTTATTAAACTGAAAAAGCACAGGATAGATAATGTAGGTACATGATGTGACTGAAAACATCACTCACATTTTAGTTTAAATTTGCAACAGCAGCAGCCCCTCTGGTGGCCTTGTGTTTTCTAATGAATCACAGCTTTCAGATCAGGAGAACAGATGAAAAAAACCCAACAACCTACATGTTTTTTTTTCCATTTCAGTTGTCTGTCTTCTTTGGGTTCTTCTCTCTTGTGTTCTCTCTTGTGTTTTGTGTACCCAGTTCATTTCCACTTTGGAGTGGCACCTTCACTTCAGCATCTTAAGTTTAAATTGGAGTTTGGCCATTGTTACTTTGTAGATGATTTAGCTCCTAATGGGAAGTTTGCCTGTCACTGTTTATTTGACCAACTGCTGACAAAAGGCATGTCCCTCAAAATCAGTGCACTAGGTTAAATCATACAGAATAGGTTTACAATGGAGATCAGAAAGAGAGCCTTTTCCAGACTGATGCAAGATTGAAAAATGAGTGAGTTCATTTAGAAAGTAAACACATATGTTTCCTTTTCTTTTCTTATCACTAGTGGTCAGAATTCCAAAGTTGCCTCTGGTATCACTGACTTTACAACTGCTTTTCTGGCCACCAGATGGGTAGTAACACCTGGGAGGTACATGTTTAGTATGCAAAATGCATATCACACTGGATTTGGTTGGTCCTGTCACATCACATCAAATACCGGTTTGTCCTGGCTTTTAAATAGAGTTCTTGTCTCTGTTTTGTAAATTCCTTCTGTTCTCCCTGGTTCACTTCTCTCCCTCTCTTTTTCTTTATCAGGGCATTGCACATCAGGTTGTTATCCCCACTTCAGAGATTAAGCCAAGATGTGACAGCAGATAGGGTGACTTGATCTTGTGATTGGATGGAGCCCGGGATTCACATCTCTCATTCCCTGGGCATCTGCAGTATCAGTCATAGTACATCTAATCACTAACAGTTGTTACCAAATTCTCCTCTTGAAATTTAAAAATAAACACTTGGGAAGTGTTTAACTCGCGTGGTCCAATGTACAAGGGACTTACTGGCATTCTGGTTATTTCAGCTGTGCTTTCCCAACACATCAGCATCCTGTTTAAGAAGAGTTGGAAAACAGATGAATTAATGGTCTCATTAGTATGGCAAACTTATCATTCTTTGAAAAGCAGATTCATAGACATTTGGCCTTTATTGAGGTCTTTCCAAGATTTTCTTTCTACCTGCTTGTTATTGGAGAACTTCATTGTTGGTGGAGTACAGATACTAATTATTTCCTTTTAGCAGCTGCTCATTCACCACACAAGAAAAGGTCTTTAAACTGCTTCCTTCCTTTGCAATTTCCATCTCTTTTCTCAGGCCTTATATCTCCAGTGATTCCTTGGCTACATATAATGGAGTTCCCTTGTCTTAAAAGAAAATGAAGTTATAGCTTCTGCCAATGGGCTGTCTTGCCTTTTGTCACTATTTTGTCTTCATCTGGAGCCTTCCAGGCCAAATCTGTCACTTCTTTTCCAGTTCTGGTTTTTGTTTTGTTGGGTTTTGTTCGGTTTTTTTTTTGGAAGGGGGTTGTATATTTTTTTTTCTTACCCCTTTCAAATAAGGACTTTATACTTCAACACAACTAAAAATTTTAAGTGGAATGATTCAATGTTAGAATTCAGGAATAGCCCTTAATAGGTCCTGACTAACTTTTGTAAAAGGAGAGGAAAGGATAATGAAAAAAGTTAAGCCTAAATAACATTTAACAGCTCTGGCCACCTTCATAAGTCTAGTATGAATAATTTATTTTAGAATATTCTCTATTCTCTCCTTCTGTATCTTCTGAAAGCCTCCAAAAATCATTGTGCTAAGGACTGTAAGAAAAAAAATAATCAATTATAAATGTGATTCATATTTTTATAAAAACTATCACATGCATGAGAAATGAAGTAATTTCACTGCTGAAGGCATCACAGGGTGTAGTTAGATGCTGCTATGAGAGCATATGAACAGAAGTAATTTTATGCTGATGAGTGAGTGGCTTAGGGCAACAGTCAGATGACATAGTTCTTTTTTCTCGATGTGTATATAAGTATATATTAATCAATAAGTATGCTTACGTACAGTTTATGCAATTAAAAACTGTAACAGTTTACGTGAGACAATCCTAGCATCTTTTGGGGAGAGTGACTAATAGAGAATGTCTGATTACACAGCTTCATTTGGAACTGCACTCATTAGCTCCCATCAAAAATAAGCAGCAGTGGGAAAGTCTGGAAGTCATTTGAATGCAGGTGAAAAGTACAGTCAGACTGATTTTAATAACATCAAATTAAAGAAAATGAAATGATTCACAACACTGGTACAAAATGCCCTTTGCAACTGCTGTGTGTTGCTGCAATTGCTGATCTCTGTAATGAGGGCTTTTTAAGTACTGAAATAATCCATGGCAGTTTTATATTTAGTCCCTCTCTGCAGGATCAGAACACAAGAATCTTGTTTCCAATAGCTAGATGGCAGAGATCCGAATTATCAGCAAGCTTACCAGAAGGAAAGTTTGTTTTACATTCCCTTCCAGGAAATTTGCTGTACAGGAGAAAAATGGTGAACATCAGCAAAGCTCAGAATTTTTCCATTTTTTCCCGTGGATCCAGTATATCAAGGAGTAGCATCTGTATTTGTATCACACTTCTTGCAAGCCATCAGCAATGCTAAGGTTTGCTGACTTTGATCAGGGGGTCCCCAGCATGCCCTTAGTTTGTCAGTTGTGTGGTTGGTGTCAATGATACTCAGAGTACAGTTAGCACTGGATGAAGAACAGACAGACAAGAAAATTGTGAAACTTAACCCCTTTAAGGATGCTTAGATGGTCTGGGAAATGCATTTTCCATTTGCAAGTCCAGTCAGGAAGTTCCAGCTCTGAACACTAAGTATTTTGAATAGTTTCCAGCCCATCATTTTTCCACGTAAAGGCTGTGAGATTGTAGCCTTTAAAATGCTCAAAGTGCTTCAGAGCTTTGGGCTGGAATAGTTTCAAACTTCTCCCTCACAGATGGTTGCACTGTTAAGGAATCAGCCTCTCTTAAATCAGGAAATGATGCAATCTATTTTGTTACTCTGAAACAGATTTCTGGGGGAGATCCTTTCTTACTCCAAAGCAAATTTCTAGTCAAGCGTTTTTGATCTTCCTGTGGCTCTTAGAAGTGGCCTTTCTCTTTCCGAGCAGCTAACCAAGCACTGTCACTTCTTTTCAAATAACATTTACAGTATTTCATTTGCCTTACTGAAAAACTAAATGTTTTGAACTCTGTGCTAGATTTACTATCCCAGTACTTATGGAAATATAGGTAGGTAAGAATTTCTTCCATGCCTCCATTTCATAACTGGATTTTTATTCAGTCAAAAAAGACCCTGAAAAAAGCTCTGGGAAAACAATATATGATATTTTCCATGTTCTGAGCTTTGAAGATCCCAGTGGTGCTGGAAAAACAATGGGCCTCTTTCTCAAATGGAAAATGTGATGACTTCTGGAATTAATGTATTGTAAAGGGACACTAGAGAACACAAGAAATGCTTTTGTTTGAAAATCATCCTGTACTTTGTATGTTTGTGAGTGTGCATGCATGCACAGATAGCAGTTTTTTAAAGTGTGGATGATCCAAACATAGATTTATTTTTTTTTTAATGTGTATCTGTTGTTAAAGGACTAAAACATATTCCCATTTTTGAATTAGATGTTGCTTTCATATAAGGCTAGGCAAGCTGTTATCACGTAAGGCTAGACTCTCTCTAACAATGTCAGAAATGCTTATTTCAGCCTTGTTGAATTTTATATTAATCTTAACTTACATTCCAGCAGTAGGTATACTATTTGATCCAAATAAATCACATTTTTCAGTACTCTGCCTTCATCCATGCTTTTGTGGCCTGCAATAAACCAAATGAAACCAAAATGAGTGTGGGGGTAGGAAGTAGCCCTGGATTCTAGGTCTGAGATTGAACATTCCTCAAAGAAGTATTTAACTAGGTATTGAATGGCTTGCTTCACAAATCAGGTGTTTTTTAGGGAGTTGCTGCAGTACAAACGATAACTAATCATCACCATAAAATGCAAACAAGGCATATTAAACAGGATTGATGTGAAATCCAAGCCTGTTGAGGTTAATGGTGTGTGTTGGCTGCAGTTTTCCCTTGGCAGGGGGCTGGCAGTGCCACAGCAGCACACTGCCCTCCACTGGGGCACAGCTGGTCACAGCCACTGGCACTGCTCCGCAGCCTCTGCCCTGCCCTCTTTCTGTTATTTGTTCTTTCTGGGGATTTTTCTCCCTTAAAATAATAATTAAAAAAAACCTCCAAACAAAACAAACAAAAACCCAACAAAAAAACCAAACAAAACAAACACCTCTTAAAGCAGAAGAGAAGGCCAGATGTCTGATAATTATTTAGGTACCCTCTGGGGAGAAAAGAGCATGAAGACTCCTGAGTGTTGCAGGCTATGGCTTAGTTAAATAAATGATAAATATTCACTGGGGTTGGTTCCTAATTCTGTTAGTTGCATGAGCAGAGCTGTTATCTAGCAGCAATGGCAAAGAGCTTTTCTTTACAGGAACTGTACCAAATTAGTAGCAGTGACATATCTGAACATTTCTTCTTGAGTTTCACTTATACTATTCCCTAAATACCCTTGATCTGCAAAAAAAAGGTGGAAAAAAAGTCTGCACTCTGAAGGTACAAGCCATTTTTTGTGCAGATGTCACTGCATCTGAAGGATGCAAAGCAGTTTTTTAACTATTTAAAAAAAATGAAATAGTTTTGTAAAAAAAAAAAATAGAATAGTTAATTCAGTTGAGGGACTACTTGTAGAACAGACTGGCATCCTAGCAGTAAATGCTTATGCTCCTCATGTGGGGTAACATGACTGAAACTTCCAGCAAAAAATACACATTTAACTCTTCTTAAACCTTTGGCAGGATTGACTCAACATTTAGTTACGGACTACAAGCAAGTTGTAGAACTTCTAGAAGAAGGAATAGCTAAAAGGTACTTGTATAAAACAAACCCTCTCCATCTTTATTTAACTCTTCTTTCACTGTGCATTTATTTCCTTGATGTGTATTTTTCTGACAGCGTTGCCAATGCTGTGTCATGACAGGACGTCAGATTTGCAGATCCTGCCCATGATGTAGACATAAGATATTGCATATCTTCATTCTATCCACAATAAGAGCTACAAGCACTCATGAAGCTGTCTCTTCAAAACTGACCCCATGCTGTCTTACCCACAAAATTCAACCATCTGTCTGGGATAAAAAATGCATGCCAGGAAAGTGTTTTGCTGTAAACAGACTTCCATTTTTTCTCCTCCACTTGCTCATGACACTTTAGACCATACAGCTTTCCATTCACTTGTTAGTGTAACTTAGTGATTTAGACTGCTGAAAATATTTTAATTGTCTTTTTATAGGTATTTCTGTAGGTTCTTAGTCCAAATCATGCACATTTGCTCTGAGTGAACTGTGGGAATTAGCACACCAGTGAAGTAAATGGTTTCAGCTCTCAGGAGTCAAGACATATTTTACATTTTCAATAGGGAGCTTTAGATATCAATATAACTGCCATTACAAATACAAATCACAGTTCCAAATTTGATATTAAGTCTTATCATGAGTGAGGTCGAGATTTTAAAATATCAGAGATGCTGGGAACTAAATAAAACTAAACTGCATTATTGCAAAAACACAGAATGTACAGCAGGATTAAGTTTTGTTGCACATTATCAATGAGAACAAACTAATCTAAAACATCTGCAGTCTGGGAAATTATGCCAAAATAACATCAGAAAGATTTTAGGCATAAAGAAGGTGGAGAACAGGTTGCCCCATATGGCCAGAGACAGGAGAGGAGCAGATGGGGAATGACAGTTCCAGTTCTGACTATACAGGAAAGACAGGAAGGGAAGCTCCCTATGGAGATGGGTGGTGCTTTGCATGGGGAAGAGGGCAGGTCCTGTACTAACAACAAGCAGAGTTTACTGAAGGCATTTTTTCTACCAGTTGGTTTTATCAGGCCATCTCCAACCCTCCTCTGACTGCACCTGTCCATTACAAAATAAACAAAGACAATTTTCAACATGCAATCTTTACTTTTGATGTAACTCTCAGTGCTAGTTTTTTCATTTTTCACTTGACACTTTGCAAGACTCACTCTCATGTGCTTAAGAACAAAATTTAAAAAGACACAGAAAATACAAATTTCCAAGTATCCAAAAGCATAACCCTGGTCCTGTGTAAAACAAAACAAACTGTATTAAACAGTTAAAATATTAAAATGTACACCACGTGCTGCCATGATATTGAATATATGTAAAATGAACACAGACATTCTCCTGTAAAAATGCTCATGTGGGTCGTTGTGAGTAGCTGAGGCAGGTGAACTTGTCCTCCAATTACCCTGTGTCATTGTTGGAGGTGAGAAGGGAGCAGTAAAGCTTCCTTCTCCAAATCCTGGGGCACTTTCTCTTTTCCTTTATAGACTTCGATGCTGTTAGTTTATTTTCTCTGACCACTGTAGAGCTGCTTGCTGTCTACCTAACTGTCTTCCTCCTGCAACATCTGGACACAAGTTCCCGTGCTCCTGCTTCCTTGGCTTGGGCTCACCTGGAACCAGCTGGGAGGGGAGCCCTGGCTCTGGCCCCACGGTGGGCGCTCGGCGGCTCTGCTCCCTGCTGCAATGGGCTCCTTGGCACTCGGCAGCTGGGCTGGTAACACAGTCCTGGTCCCACAGTCCTTGTCTGCACTGCTAAAATCACCTGCTGTTGTGAAGGGAGAGCTTGGCAAAACCAGTGTTAAAGTCTGCACACATAGCTGATATTCAAGGCAAGCTGCAAGACTGACAAAGGTTCCTGCCCTAGGCAAAACCCTACTTGCTTTGGGTTTGCCTACTCAAAGCAACAACAAAGAAAGCAGAATTTTCAGACGTTTTTGTTACAGAGACAGTGGAAGAGTGCAGCTGCTCCTCCTCCTGTGCCCAGGGTGCCTGCTAGCCAGAGTGTGAGGGGGGTCAGAGGGATAGAGCCAGATGACCAGGCTATCCAAGAGGTAAAGCCAAGCAAGTGCTATGCTACTGATCTGCAGTGTTCATTTGGTACTCATATGGGTAGGCTGGCTAATGTCATCGTGCTCCTGACAGCGTAAAGCTACTGTATCAGTCCTGTGGCAGAAGGAAGCCCCAGGAGTAGTGTATGAAGCTTTATTGGACCCTTTGAAGTGCTAAGAAATAAAAGCAGGTGCAACACAGAGAAGATGTGCTGGACTAGTCAATTCAGTGGTGTTGGGGTGAGCTGTATGATGCTGTTACTGGCTGTACTCTGCCGTGTCCTACCCTTACACAACACCTTACACCTGTGCTGTAATGATGCTTTAAGGTATTTTTTTCAGAGTGCTGCTGATGAACAAAAACATCTCTAACTGATCCCCTCTTTCCACTCTTCCAGTTCATCTGCTGAACACTTGGGTTTTGGCCTACCAGATTCTTCAAGTCTCACAATCCTTCATCTTCATCTTCATTTATTTGCTGTATTTTGTTATTTTTGCTTTCCCTGAATACAGGGAAGTAAAACTTTGGTTTGTTGTTTGTTTTCTTTTTTCTAGAATCACAGCAGCTACACATATTCACAATGCTAGCAGCAGATCCCATGCTATCTTCACCATCCACTATACTCAGGTTAGCTAAAAATAATCCAACTTCCGTTTCTCTTTGGTCTCAAAAGGCATTGTTCAATTTGTTGTGCATTGTTTTCTTGTCAATGTTTTGTGCTGTGTGTAATAATCTCAATGGAACCTGTTTCTTATATCCTTTGGAGCACACTGCAGATGTGTTATACTTCCTACACTGCCTGACGTGTTGTTTACTGAAGTATTCTTGTTCCTTTGTGCAAGCTTGTAGTCAGAACTGCTGCCAAAGACTTACTGTAAAAACAAATGTTTAGGGTTTTAATCAGCCCTTTGAAATGCAATATCCCTCCTAGGATGCCATGAAAATTATGTGTGAATATGTTTGAAGTTATATTTTGTCACACTTGTTTAGGATCCTTAACTGAAGTGTAGCATTAGTTTAACAACAAAATCTTGTATCTGTCCAGCTTTTCAGATGTGCTCATCTCTCTAGCTTTTGGCATCCAGTACTCTCCAAGAGACAATGCAGCCTTTCTCCAGAGGAATTATATCCTTCCCTGGCAGGGAAGCAATTCAGCAATCCAATAGACCTTTTCTATCTCACACTTCTAACATCCTGTAATCACAGAACATTTTAGGATATTTTTCAGTAGGTTCACAAAAGACCTTTGGAATACTTTAGTGGAAAATAATTCTGCAAGACATACAAGAAAACCTTTCACAGTCACTAGGCAGTAAATTGTTTTTTTTCAGGAGGAAATCAGCATAAGAGGGTAGTTTCTCTGTTGGGTGAGTTAATGGTTTGGATTTAGTCAGCGGGTCAATGTCACAAAGAAAGGCAGTGAGGAAGTCATATGTACAATTCAGTTTCAAACAAAAGAGCACATATATTTTATTTTCATTTATTCAGTAAAAGGAATAGTCTTCCATAATTATACCTTTCTCTTCAGGCTATATTGGAAAACACTCTCCCTTCTGAAATTGCAAGCAAGATCAACTTGGTGGACCTTGCAGGCAGGTAATAATATTTTGAAGGGCAAAGAGGTAATTTTCTCTGAAGGTGCTGGTAGTACTGCCTTAAAACATGAAATTTAGTATTTTAAAACTTCATTAAACTAACTGTAAGCTTGACTTTTGTATACAGGGACAAGGTATATTAAACTAATATTGTCCCTGTCATCTGTTCTTCTGTACTGGGGATTGGATTTAATTGGGAAAGGGAGTTCCTGGGTCCTCAGATCCAATACTGTGCTTTTGCATACATTTAAGGTAATTCTGTTCAACTTTACAGTCTTATTAAGTGGCTTTTCTTGCAGCTATTGGTGGAATTACCAAATCTGAGCTTAAAAAGAGACTGAAAGATAGAATGTAATCCTCATAGCTGTCTAGCATGGGAGGGACAAAACAGTCATATCTCACTGCTTTTTTTGTCCATGTTCCAAAAAGTTGTTTCATTTGCATTGTCTTTTCCATGCTTGTGTGCTACAGTGAGAGAGCTGATCCCAGTTACTGCAAAGATCGAATTACTGAAGGTGCCAATATTAACAAGTCATTAGTTACACTTGGAATTGTCATCTCCACTTTAGGTAAGCACTGTTTCTTTATACTGAAGGGTAGAGGTAAAAGCATGGGACTCATTCACCATGTGCTGTCTCTTCATGCTTGTATTTACAACAAGAAGCGGAACAGCTTCGTGGCATCTTCATAAACTGTAATGACATCTAAGAAAATGAAATCACCGTAACAGAAAAAGAGAACCCCTTTCCTAAGCACCGTGGTATTTCTCCTTCAGCACAAAATTCACAGATGTTCAGCAGCTGCCAGAGCATAAACACCATAACAAGTGAAGGGGAGAGCAGCCACGCGGATGCTCCTTCCACCGGCAGCACCAGCGGGACCAGGCGACCGGCTTACATCCCGTACCGGGACTCCATCCTCACCTGGCTGCTGAAGGACAGTCTGGGGGGCAACTCCAAAACCATTATGATTGCCAGTGAGTCTGGTTTCTATTCGTTGTTAGCACTTTGTGCCACATAACCCCTGCAGAATACTTCTCTAGTGCAGTGAGATTACAGCAGTCATCTGGACTCTGTCCTTGTGAAGATTTTCACGGATACATCACAGGGTACCCAAGGAAATGAGAAGGCATGCTGATTGTGCATGAAGTTAAGCTGAAGAGTTTTTTCAAGGTCTTAGCTTTGATTTAAAGTGATTTATTCAGTTATAAATACAATATTGAGGAAATGTTCTCTGTGAACTTCATTAAACATCCCTAAGGATATTTTTGTTTAGTTTTTTAAAGAAGCAAGACTGAAAAACAAATCTATCTTTTTGAAATGCAATTTGTTAAACTGTGATTATTTTTTAAAACAGTGTTTCTTTTCTATTTGTTTTCTGTCCGTAGCTATCTCTCCTGCCAGCTCCAGCTACAATGAGACCATGAGTACCTTGAGATATGCTTCAAATGCCAAAAATATTATTAATAAGCCCAGAGTGAATGAGGTGAGGCTTTGAGTTCTTGTTCCTTTTTGTTCTATGTATTATTTAAAGTTTATTCAGTGTATCTGCTCTCTGAATAAAATTCATACTTTTCCCATGTTCATGAGAGCGGAATAAGAACCATTCTTGTTCATTGCTAGTCCAGATGCTTACAGAAAACTTTCAATGTGTGCTTTTTCCTAGTTTTCCACCTTTACCCCCAGTCTTCTTAACAAAATCCAAACACATAATAATCAAGATCTATGGTTGCAGATGCTACAAATATATAACTATTGCATTAGTGCTCTTTAACTGAGCATTTTTCACCTGGTGTTCTGGGTGAGGCTGCCACCCTACACTGATCACATCATTTAAGGACTGAATCACAGTGTATCCATCTAAGGGGACTGAATTAAGGTTTCCAAACAAAACACAAAAGTCTTGATTCCAGCATTTCCTAATTTCCTTATAAGTTGACTTTGCAATTTTAGTAGTGTTTTTTTCTGATTTTTCCTGAGTGTATCAAGATTTTATCTGTAGATAAAAGGATAGAATCTTTGAGATGTACTTCATTTATTTGCTTCCCTAACAATCCTCTTTTAAATCTTGAGCAGAAGGAAACCCTTCTAGTCCAAGGTTTCCCAAATTTAATTTGCATCCATGTTACCAGTGCCTATAACTGGTTTTTAGATGTCACTGGTGGCAGTAATTGTGTGTTTAGTTTTGGCAGCAGCAGTTCTCAACTCTGTGACAGGCCACAGGCAGGTAAATACACTTCTCCCAGGTTAGCCTCTTGTTACATACAGCCTCTCAGCCTCCCAGCTCATGTGCTCATCACTCTCTTGCTGAGACCATAGACCCCTGACTCCAACACTTCAGCTGGCTGCCTTCTTCCCTTCACTGCAAACTGACCAAAGTGTCGCTGGCAGCCCAGAGAAACTTGACTCTTGATTCCAGAGTTTCCCTGAACTGTCTGCAAAAAGCTTATTTCCAGAAACTACCTTAGCAAAAGCTTACTCTGAAAGCAAGATAATTGCCTGCACACAAGCAGGCAGGAGTTGCTTTGTGTTTCAGCTGCAAAGGGTTTAAATACTATGGTTGGTGACGTTCTGACTTAGTCTTCTCTAGCCTGATTTTCTCCTCTGCATGGTAGAAATAACAGCATTTTTCTGACTTGAGTGGACTATTTTGGCAGTAAACCCATAAAAGTAGTGATGCACCCAGCTATTGTCATAATGGGAACAAATACTGTGGTAGGTCTGGATTCAGAAAAGAGCCAGAACCAAGTTACGAGAGAAGAGAACCTATCAAAGATGGGAAACACCTGCCTCTAGGTAGTACATCCCAGGGGTCTGGCAGAGTGGACCAAGGAGTACTGCTGTGACTGTACCTGCTCACCTCTCCTCCCTGGCTCTTGGAACAGCTCTGCAGTGATTTCTTTAGTGAGATTTTTTTTTTTTTTTTCCCCCAACATCTATGTCTTAATGTTTCAGGATGCAAATGTAAAACTGATCAGAGAACTGCGAGAAGAAATTGACAGGTTGAAAACTATGCTGATGAGCTTTGAACTGGTATGTAGGAACACTTCCCAACTGGAGCTCTAATGGTGCTTTAGGTGGCTACAGTAGCTTACTTTTGTCTTACCTTTCCATGCTTATTGTAACTGGAAGGAAATTAAACTGGTCTCTCAGTGATTTAATGGTGATTATAAAGCTAACTGCGTTTCTGTAATTTCTCCTTTTTCTGGCATTGTATTGATAATCCTGAAGTATAAGTACGTGTGTAATGATTAGAAAGGACTTCTTGACTGTATTTAATGCAGTCAGGATGATTTTGTTGTCCTGAAATACCACAAAATAGAAATATTTTATTTATAGGGATATGGAAGCACCACAACAGTAAAAAATATTAATAATTTACGTAATTTCCCTACCATAATGTGTGTATTTTGTCTTTCCTTCTCCTGAGTTCATCTCTTTGAAATCCTGGAGAGTGAAAGAGCATGCCTGCCAGTTGCAAATGAGGAAACTAACATGTATATATTGGTGGCTGTTGTTTGTACAGAGGAATTCCAGCCCTTCTTGGAGTGATGACAGGGACGGAAATCTGACTGAGCTGGTTCTTCAGAATGAAATGAAGGTGTGTATGATCTATCTGCTGTTGTAACTCTCTCCTGTTTCATTTGGCCAAGGGGGATAGCATTGCCATAGTTCCACAGTGAGAGTGTTTTTGTCCTAATCCTCTCCCACTTGCTCTGAATAAATGGGAAACTGCCACCCTTAATACGTGTTGGGATCCCTCTAACAATTTCTGATTAAGATCTCATGTCCTTAATGGGATGCTGTCCATTGTGCATTCCTAAATCTGCATGATCTACTCCTTGTTTGAAAGTTGTCTCAATATATCACATTAATTCATTATTCAGAGCCTCTCTCTTCTAAGATTAAATGGCTCCAATTTATTCAAAGGAAATTACTGTGCAGTCACCACATTACTAAGAAGATTTGATCACTGATGACCTGAAACAGTTTTGCAGATCTCGATTTTAAGTTTTGCTTAGAGAGAGGCAAAATTACTAGTTAACATGTTCATGTATCTTTCTGACATTTTGGGAATGGTTCTTCAAGAGATTAAACCTACTTTGGTGTTTTAACCTAATGATAGTACAGCTTTTACCTGATTTTTTTTGTCACCACAGAAACGTTCTGCAGTTAGAAATACACCTGCATTGCACCTGATGAAAGAATTTTGCATCCAGTAACTGGGAAAAAAGTGTTTTTCTTTCTGAAGAACTTTATGTATAAGAAAAGTTAAACTGCTTAGTAAGTGAAAAATTTACCTCTCCTATTCTTTAAGATTGAGCAATTGACCAAAGACTGGACAAGTAAGTGGACAGACAGGAAGGCCATCATGGAAGAATACAGTGTGGACATCAACAAAGAAAAAGCTGGAGTAACAATAGATTCTAATTTACCTCATCTAATGGCCATGGATGATGATATCCTCAGCACAGGAGTGGTGCTATATCATCTCAGGGTGAGCTATGTTCACTTATTTTTCACTTGAATTTGAAAGCACTTGTTTTCTTTGGAAATGGAAAGTGGTTAAGGTGGCATTACAACAACAGCTATCAAAAAGTAAATGCCACAGCCCACAAGGCACAGATAACAGGGGAAAAAAGCAGAGAAGGATATATGAAAATAGAAGAGGGGAAGAATTAATATATTGAATAATAAGTTCACCTCCTATGAATACATGTGCAAACTAGTTGATAACATATCATAAGCAAAGCAAAATACTCAAATTAAGCATTAGTGGTCTGTCCACAAAGCATAAGGACAGGAGTGTGTGTGTGTGTAAATGTAAGGGTTGGTGCTTACAGTATACCAGATGTACTGGTCCAGATTTTATTAGGTACTTGTATCCTTGAAACTGGAATACTTGTATACATGTAGATCAAAGATACAAAAGTAAGCTTTAACAAGCACAAGCTCACTTTGGCAATGACTTGTATATATTGCACTTTCAGCCCTACCAGGCCTGTCAATTAGATCCCAGGTGTGTATCTTAAATGTTAGTTACTTGTGATCCCACTTGAGTGGCTATTTCCCAGGATCAGGTAGAAACCCTGCTCCCATAGGTACTGGTTTGCTGTGTAGCTGCTCATTTAAGGTAAAGTGTTCCCTAAGAAACTGCCATAATATTGCATGTATATTGCTTCATATTGTGGCTTATGATGCATATGGCTAGGCCAAATAGTTATAGGAAATTTTTTTTTAATAAGCCAGTGCTAAGCCAGGCCTTAACATTTTAAAGTTGTTTAAATTAATGGAAACTACTAAAATGTTGACATAAAAGGAATGGTGGATGGGCATCTCTACAGAGGTGCACTCATTAACAAAAAAAATATGTTGAATATGGTTGAAAATTATGTATCTGTCTACTAATAAATGATCTTAATACAAATCTAGGTTTAGTGCTACTTAATACAGTTTAGGGACACAGGTTTTTTTGTTGTTGGTTTGTTTGGTTGTTTTTTTGTTTGGTTGGTTGGTTTTTGTGTGGTTCATTTTTTTTTTCCCCTGCTGAAAAGCTGCAACAAATATTTGAAACAGAAATTGTGCTCATCTTTATCATGTTGAAAGAGAAACCTTAATAATTTTTCTCATGCCAGCACAAATAAATTGTGCCATTATTACTTGTGACCAAGTTCAGTGCTTATCAATATGCAACTTGAACTACTCAATCCTACATTAACATTAAATATTTATTTAAAACTAATAGTTACTACCTAAATGTTTTTTCATTATGTGCCATTTTGGAAACAGCTAATATTTTAATGACTAATTTTTGCAATACCTAAATTAATTTAAATATATTAATTTTAACAGAGAAACCTAGTTTGAAGGGCCACTTTCTGATGTCATTAGTGCCTGTCTGTCACACTAACATCCTTGTCCCCTCTTTCTTTGCTCCTAGATGCTGCCTTTTCTTTTTTTCTTTTGTGCTTTGCATCTTTTAGACTCTGGTGTCTATTAATTTCATCTGAACATCAAGAAGGTAAAACACTAGTGTTTTCTTACATATTAGGGCTTCAACATATAACAGCTCTTTAGATTGTACTTCTAGAGAGAGGTCATGGCAGCAGTTTTCAGATCATGTAGAATAGAAGTTATGTTACTCTTAGTCTCTTGATATTCCATAGTATTAATTGCACTAATCAATGCTGTACCTCTGCTCAAAGAAACTTTCTTTCTTAGGTTCTGTTCTTTTCTTTTTCTGGCTTTCATTCTAAAAAAAATTATGTATTCCCTATAATTTAACTGAACATTTTTTTTGTAGCTTAAAAATATGGGATTTTTAAATATTGTTTTAGAAACAGGTGTATTTCACAAACTTTTTTGAAAGTTGGAGTGCCCCCAACACTGAAGGGGAAAAGCAATTTCACTCTTTATGGTTCTGTAATGCACCTTGGGAATTCTACCTGTAATCAGGAAACACTGCCAGAAGAGGGTAGCAATGTAAAAGTACTCAGCATGTTAAGGTGAACTTGTGCAATCATTTCACCTGAATCATGTGTCTTTCACTTTTTCAGGTAGAATACTCAATAGTAAATTAGAAAAGAATACAAATATTTAAATTATTAGCTCAGTAACAACACTTGAAATAATTAAATCAACAGGGTCCTGGGTTATGGCTGGTTTTGTTTTACTTTCTTCTTTAAAATGAGTTAGTTTGCATGTATCATATCTGTACCATTGCTCTCAGCTGCAATTTTTTGTTGTGCTTAAACTCCCACGAAGTACACTAACTGGGACACTATTGTGAATTTCATGAGCCAATACTGATGTAATATACTTTTCTGAATTAAATTATTACCAGAGTGTTATTTCAGCACATTGGAAAAAGTTTTCTTTTGGAATTGCAAGAACTATTTCTTTGCTTAGTTAAGAAGATAAGTAACAAAGAGGTCTTCTAGGAGTTGGTTTACTTCTCTTTGCATAAAATACATGTTGCTAACTCATTTTATTGTGTGAGATTATATCAAAGACCATATGGATCATAAGTTTTCTACAAGTTGTGGCCCAGCCTGGTGGATATT